TCCACTGCTTAACATAGGCATCTCCTACTGCACGCCACTTAGATTTTGGGCTTCTCGCATCCAGCTACTGCCAGCCATCTTGCGCAAATCGTTATTCCACCTGGCCTGTGGGCCTACACTACGTTTGCCGAGACTCCGCTCAAGAACTCGTTTGCGCCAACGGTTGTCGAAAAACCAACAAAAAGCAAACGCCAAAAGAATATTTGAAATTACATTAGAGGTGCCAGTTACCATATTCCAACAACAAAGATAAATTCCCAGCTTTAATATACAATGTTTGCAGTATACTTAGGTCAATACTGTCGCAGTAAGTCCACTGACCGCAATATTTCCTAAAGCTCATTTAGCTTGTACAGCATAAGTCTCCTCTGCAGCATCACGTTTCAAAGTTAGCGTCTCTTGTAAATAGAGCCGGTCATGAATCTTGAATAGCAAGTAGGTGCAACCTTCACTAGCATTGTGCACAATAACTAGTCTTAGCGAGCTTTTGTTCGCAAACCAGGGTTTCTTAATAACGTTCTGCAGTTAACTTCAGTTTAAAGTTTATTTTTTTCACAACTTTATGTTAATTGAGGTTAAAATAGAGATAAAATATAGATTTTTAAGATTGTTTATGACTTGCGTTGCGTGCGTTACGGCGTAAAAAGTAGCATATATTACTAGCTGATTTTGTAGCTTTCCTGTAGTGATAGAATTTTTGAAATCGGTTTAGTGGTTTGGCGTAGAAGCGTAACAAACAAATAAACTCGCACATTTATAATGTATAATTTACACATAAATTCATATCCATACTTACTTTTATAATGTAAGTATTAAAATGCATATCCATACTTACATTTATAATTTATTTATTTATATTAAGCACATCAACAGCATAATTACAACATCGCGGGGCGATAACATTTTCATGGTTTGAGTTTCCGGTAATTACACAGATAATAGATATGCATGACACTTAGTATATATCCAATGGAGAGACCTTTTATACAAATGCTAACTTAATACATAAAAATACATACACAGACATAAAACCTAAGGTAGAACGTGTTTCCTTTTTAACAATAAAAGACAAAAAAAACAAAAACAAAACAAAATAGATCAGATCAGGCGCTCCAAGAGTTGGGTTCGGCAACATGGCCTCGTATGGAGCGTTTGTATGATGTGAATGTCGTGGAGAAGATATCAATATTTTCCACCGCCATAGCCACCGCCATATATTCATATCCATAATGTAAGTATGGATATGAATTCATATGTAAATAAAGTTATACGGAAAAAATCAATCACATCTAACACCAAAAATAGAAAATTACCCTTTTTTCCACAACTATTCCTTTTGCAAATTTAAGATGGTTCTACTATTCTACTAAATAAATAAGATAATAAATAAATTAAATTAAATATATTCAATTGACTTAAAAATTTGTATTTGAAAAACGGTATTTGGAAAGCCAGGCCCTGACGAACAAGTTACGTGTTTTCTTTTCATATAATTATATTTCCTTTTCATTAAAAACGTTTCCTGGCGCCTATTACGTTATTTTGCTAAAAATAAGTTATTATCACAATAATACCGTGTAATAAATACTTAAGTTCAACTGTGTCGATATATAACCGCCCGTTCCCAAATATCGAAGTCACGGCCACTAGATTTGTCACTACTTAATGAGAGCTATTTAACAAACAACGTAAATAAAAAGTTATTTTCACTTAATTGTCTTTTACGCAAATAAATATAGAAATGTCTGAAGGCTTTGTTGAATACTAAAAAGTCCCTTTTAATACTAAAGTGTAAAACTAACAAGACAGAGCAAACAAGAACTCAGCAAACTTCGCAGTTGCAGAAAGAGAACTCGTTAACTCATTTTGTGCAAAGTTCTAAGTGTTGAAACTGATTTTGCTTACTGACTAATTAAATCGTGTTTTAGGCGAGCGATAGCTATTAAAACCTTTTATACCTTTCTTAATTCATTCTTCGCCGTAATCTGAAGCTAAGAAAGAATTTTTAATATCTACGAGAGCTTTATTAAACTCTGTATATAAGAATAAGTGCAAGGCCACTCTTTGAAATGCAAAGGGGTGGGCTAGGGATGTCCGGCTAGACGTGATGTATAAAGAGGGGCTCAAATCCGGGGGTCGTCACGTTTCCGCTATCGTTTTTGCTGAAATATGACAGCGATATAGTCCGGCCATCGTCAGTAAGCCCGGCTCGATGAAGAAAATATTGCTGGCGCATGAGCGATCAAGCGAGTGCCACCAATTTATATAGACTACTCCGTAAGGCTTGATTGAACATCGTGGGAACGGCACGGAATCGGGTATTATAGGCAGCAAAATTGTAGGATAAGTTACTTGATTGGAACACGCGGCGGGCTATGATCAGATTCGAATATGAGCTTAAAAAAAGATTTAGTTTTGGTAAAACCCTTTTGACGTACTATGTTGAAAAGACTGTCTTCCTACAAATATTATTAAGGTAATATAAAGGTACTTATCTTTTATAAATACTCTGATATTCAGTTTGGTTATTTTATTTTATAACTACATAGATGATTTCCTGATGTTTGACAAAAATACTACAATTTCATTTGGTTTTATTTAAACTAACGGACTTGACAGACGTAGTCTCGAATGTAGGTTTTTTTTTTTGGTGTCATTAGTCACTTTGAAAATGAAACGAATAAACTAATAACTTCATTTCTAGAACTGGTCGCAACGCCACTTACCGTCTATAATTATAAACCTAAATTACTGTATCACACAAAAAATATAACGAAACCGTCATCATATTATTAGTACACGGTCATTAACTTGGAATACTATGAATGAGGAATGAAGTGATCCGGCAGAGAACCAAGGTCACCGACATAGCCTACCGGATCAGAAAGCTGAAGTGGCAGTGGGCTGGCCATATTAGCCGCAGAACCGACCACCGTTGGGGAAAACGAGTTCTTGAGTGGAGACCGCGTCTCGGCAAACGTAGTGTAGGACGCCCATAGACCAGGTGGAGTGACGATTTGTGCAAGATGGCTGGCAGGAGCTGGATGCGAGAAGCCCAAAATCAATCTAAGTGACGTGCAATGGAAGAGGCCTATGTCCAGCAGTGGACTGCGATAGGCTGATGATGATGATGATGATGACTATTGTATATGAAATATCCTGAATTATTTTACAACAAAGATTATTCTATTCTCTTCTATTATTTGATTAACAGTAGTATTCATACTTGTTTTGAGTTAACCCGGCTAGTTTGGAACCTAAAATGGGCTCTTTTTCAAGAACCGTACACTAGTCAACCATTCCAAAAATATGTGCATACTTATTGAACAGTACTATTAGTATAAATAATAATAATAATAATCTTTATTGTTATAAATAACCTTTAACAGTTTTCCTATATATATATACACATAAACGTACAAGCATCTTAACAATTAAATGACATAAGATGACATAAGAGCGAAGGGTTCCTTTTAATCAAATTGAAAGTGGCAGGCAATTATCACAATGACGAGTTAGGATTCTATCTCCCTAATACTGTTACAGATTTCAACCAATGCATAATTTAGCCAAATGACACATTGTAATTCAAGACGGTCTGCACCGAAGTGCACAGTGTTTAATCTAGCCATTGTGAGAGACCACACATCAGCAGTACATTGTAATATGTCAATAGCAACATTTGCAACATTGGCACTCACCAGTGTGTACTCATGTCAGTACATCTAGAGTGACAAATGGAATTGTCTGATTGTTTGTTTGTGTTAGATTTGAATAAGGATGTGATTATACATGACTGCCTTATTGGCCTTGTGGCAAATTTTGAAGTGAAAACTTCTTTATGCGCGTTGGGTATTTTTGAACAAAAAACAAAAGAGTAAATTTTTTGAGATGGGAAAAGCCACTAAACTCGCGTAACTGTTACCGTTACCGATACCTTTGTTACAAGTATCTACATATATTGGCCCCGTTTACACGATAGTTGAGTTTGGGTTGAAATACATTATTAATATAACTATATACGTACAACATAGCCAAAAGTTTCCAACTTTTCGATCTTTTCGAATGGAAAAATACCATAACTTTTCCTGTTACAATCAAAATTTTTAAAATTTTCTAGTTTTCACTTCTTTTATTTTTTTCTTCTTCTTCTTTTCTTTCTTTTCAGATTGTCGTAATGATTTCTGTTGAGGTGTGCTTTGAACACAGACAAAAATTACCACAGAAACTAATAAAAATCATCATCAGTCCCTTTTCCTGGGATCAGGGATTATGGATGATTTCTTTCATATAATCGGCCACCGGCCTGACAGTTACCCGTTTTAGTAATTGTCTTAAAAGAGGATAAACGGAGAAAGTAAATTTGGGCTTGAAGAACTGGTTTTCTAAGAAGGAATAAAGAAGATTTTGGATAAAAACAAAGATTGCGTTGGCTCTTCCAGTAATAGTCATAATCAACCGGCCAACATAAAATATCGATAGTAAAATGTAGGTGTAACAAAATTATATTGTATGATAAAACCTAGCCGTTAAACAGTTGATAAATTATGATAGCAATATTAGGTAATAAGGAGGTACTTTAATATAACAACGTGGGGAATGTGGGTTCATGAGTTCGTTATCTTCGTCATTATCAACAGATGACATAAAAATTTCCGGCTTAATAGCTTGGGGTACAGCTTAATTCTTCACAGCTTAATTTTATTTTTAAGGGTCCTCTAGCAACCGAAATTACTAGTATTCCCGTTAACCCCTCCCGCTAAGCTAAATTGCTTGTGTTAAGAGTGGGTTCACGTCGGTAGTGTACTGGTTTTTACCTCTGTAGCATTGTGTCAAATATTGGAGCTTTTCCTTTTTTATATTTGGTTAAAAATACAACACAAAATTTGTTTCAATTGATCTCTTGCAAATTGTAGCCTCATATTCAAAGTATTAGTTTAAGCGTGATATATGTAATTGTCTCTTCCTAACCTTTTTTCTTCTACTCTGTTCCTCTCCAGGCTGATCTATCATGCCGCAACACCAAGCAGCAGGTCGGCGCGCTATTCACGCGCAGCAACTTCGTGACGTTAAAGTACGTCACTGACAACTGGGGAACAGACGCCAACGGGTTCCGGCTCGTTATCACCGCCGTCAAGGACCCCAGTAAGTATATGAACTTTGTTGCCATATTCGTGTTGTCTTTCTAGTGGATGTTGTTGTCCAAAATCCAAATCCATGGAATACATAGTACGAACAATCTTGTAATATTTAGGTAATAGGAGAGTTCCATCATTCAAATTGTTCAATAGTTTGTTAGGTTAGCTTTACCGTGGGGAGCCATGCTCCTGCATGAATAGGCCGGCTCGACCGGAGTGATACCACGGATTCACAGAAAACCGGTGTTAAGCAATTCTTTCGTTACCTTTTACGGAGTGAGTGAGGTTACCGGAGCCCAAATCCCCATTCCGTTTCAATAAAATAAAATAAGATGAAATCTTATTATAAAAACAGATCAATTCTAAGAAATGTTTATACTGGTTCTAAAACTGATTCAGATACAAGACTATCATTCTGCTCAAAATACTTAAAACAGTACTTGCTAAATATAAGAAAGATGTGGTAAACTGAATGTGATGAAAACTAGGTAAAAGAAAACCTGCAAAAATTTGCTTCAGGCTCCGTATCTATCATCATCATCATCAACAGCCTATAACAGTCCATGCCGGACATAGGCCTCTCCTTATCCATACTTCCATATTAATAAATGTGAAAGTGAGTTATCATCATAAGGGTACTTGATCTCGACCTCTTCGAACTACTTCAGTCTACATTTACCTCTCTACACGTGGGAGAGCCATGCTACAGCACGAATGGGCTGGCTCGACCGGAGTGATACCACCGGTGTTAAGCTATTCTTTCGTTGCCTTTCACTGAGTGAGGTCCCCCCTCTCACTGACTCGAGCGAGGGGTACCACAAGGGCAGCAACGCACCTGTGACTTTTGAATTGCAGGTGTCCATGAGCGGCGGTAGTTGCTTACCATCAGGTGACGGTTAACGAAATTCAAGCATAAAACCAAGGCTTTGTTAGCATTTAAATTGCAACAATGCAAAACTGTTGAGGCAAGTGTGATATCAGATTAGTTAGAGCCTGTGGTAACCAGACTGCTCATAAACATACTGATATTATTCTAACATCCGTTTAAATTAGGGGTAAATTACACCCTACACCAGGGACTTCCTTTCTAGGGTATACCTGGTTCCCCGGCTATTAGTACCCGAGACGGCGTGCGGTTTTAGTCGGTTCGAGTCCGACATGCCACCGACAGGTGGTATCACCGACAAGGGGATTTCCGCCCGAAAAAAAAAAAAAGGGGTAAATTACACCAAGACACAGAACAAATAATCGTGCTCATCATAGAATTATTTGTCTTGGGTGTGTGTACCGATAAACCAGTCAAAATCTAACTAATTTTGCTCTAAATTTTCATTAGATCCAAAACATGATTACTGCTTTGTAAAGAAACTAATGTATTATTTCCTGAAACTACTAAAACAAAGCTTAGTTTAAAATAAGTCGAATGTAAACAGTCGTCATTATTCAAAGAACTAAAACAGAAACTAAAGACTAATAGCGGAACATCATTCATACAAAACTAAGTCGAATATTATTACAGTGCAGATCATAATAACAGGAGGCGAGCCAACATAACTAAGCCCGGACAACTCAACTAAATTACTTCAATTTCCTCTCGTTCCCCCTCAGGGTACCCTGAATTGTTTAATTACTCGTGCAGTTTGTATTTCCGCTGTGATGAAAGAAAAACAGATGTGAGATGGAACGTAAGCTTTAGTAGAATTTGAATTGTAACCAACAAATAGTTCCTGAGTGTATTCTTTTATTAAGTGAAGTATTGCATTTATTTTCGACATAGTTTTGTAACTAATACTTAAGGTTGCATTCACCCAGAGCCTAATTTACTGATTGCACGGATAGCGTAGTGATTTAAGCGGTCACCTTGTCGTTTCCTACTGCGCTGAGTGTTGTGGGACGCATGGGACAATACTTTGTGTGATCCAGAAATTGTTTTTCTGAGTCTGGGTGTCCTTTGTGTCCGTTTCATGTGTGTTTGTTAAGTCCGACGGGACACAGGATTTATTTCTAGTGCGGGAGTTGTCTTAAAAAAAAAATAGTTAACATAATAGTTCGGGTTTGACAGTATATTTCAAGGACATCTAAAAAAATGATTATTAAATGCTATTGCCGGAATGTTGGAAGAAAGCGATCTGTCGTGGGGTATTGATACCAATATTAACCTTATGTCCTTCATAACTGTTTGAGGTACGTATGTGTGATGTCTTTTTTTTTGTTCTGTGCGGAAAACCCCTCGTATACCACGGTGGCATGTCGGACTCGAACCGACTAAAACCGCACGCCGTCTCGGGTACTAATAGCCGGGGAACCAGGTATACCCTAAAAAGGAGGTCCCTGGTGCCCCGACATACCTCGGGCCATCTACAGACGAGTAGAAGCCCCCCCCCCCCCCCCGTGTGGGAACCCCATGTTCCCTCTATGTGTGGTGTGTCTGTGCGTGCGCATGCTGGTTGTATGTGTTTTGATAAAGATGGAGTGTTGTTTTGTGAATTAAGGATCTACATATATACAACTAGCTGACCCGGCAAACGTTGTTTTGCCATATACATTATTTCTAGGAAATATTGAAAAAAAAATTTAGGGGTGGGTCACCCTTGTCTTTTAAGGGTTTGAAAAACCGATGTTGGGCGATTCTCAGACCTACCCGATATGCACACAAAATTTCATAAAAATCGGTCCAGCCGTTTCGAAGGAGTATGGTAACTAACTTTGTGAATTTTATATATAAGATATAATACACGACTGTCTCGGTGGCGCAGTAGTAGCGTATGCGACCGCTGTGCTGAGGTCTCGGGTTCGATTTCCGGGTCGGACCAAATGTTTGTATGATCTGCAAATATTTGTTTCGGAGTTTGGGTGTTTTCTATGTATAATATGTATGTATTTACAAAAAAAAGGATTTAAGTATTCTATCAGTCAATCTAGCTTTCATAGTATAAGCTTTGCTTAGTTCGAAACTAGATGGCGTTGTGTGTCAGATATCCGAAATATTATTATTATTAACTCTAATATAGACTGGTATAAAGGTACTATAAAAGGTAGGTAGGTAGGTAGGTAAGTATAAAATGTATTTAGAAATACATAAGTATGTTTTTTCATTAGTCTGGTTACTATTGTTGGAGTGACCGTTTGACTTTCTTTTGTGTCTAGTGGTTAGTGACCCTGACTGTTATGTCGGAAATCGTGGCTTTTATTATCATTCAAGACAAATACTTGTGTTATGAACATGATCAATTGTTCTGCCCCTTTTTCTGTGCCGAAATCCCCTCGGATACCACTTACCGGTGGCAATGTCGGACCGACTAAAACCGTACGCCGTCTCAGGTACCAGTAGTCGGGGAACCAGGTGTACCCTAGAAAGGAAATCCCTGGTGCCCCGACGTACCTCGGGCCATCTACGGCGTGTAGACGACCCCCCATGTGTGGGAACCCCCATGTTCCCTCTGTGCTCCCGGAAGGGCGCGCGCGCTTCGCAACTCGCTCGCCGCGACCCCGGCCTGCTTCTGCTAGGGTGACAGATGGCCTCACCTGTCACCCCCGGGCCTGCGCTTATGGAGGACGGAGGTCATTCTGCGACCTCCGGCGCCTGAGTCATCGGCGGTACCTGGCCCGTTCCCGAGCCTGGTAGGCTGGGAGAGTTCTAAATCTCTCCCGCTCCCGCTCCGCCATCTCCTTAGCAAGAATAACTTGCTCGCAGAAGGAGACGGCAGAGTTCCGCGCACTCTCGCTCACGGGAGTTCTCGCGCACGATAGCCGCAATCAGGTTATCGAGCGAGAGAACTCCCAATCCGATGGCCGCCACGAGGTCTGGCCGCTACTCCACCCACGCCACCTCAAAGGAGATCGTGCGGTACCCCCTTATGATCCTGAGTAGTGCGACGTTGCTGGCCTACAGGTCCCCCGCACAATTGCTCTGCCCATGGATGTAATTTATGTATAATATGTGTGTTTTTAGAAATATTTAAGTATGTTTATCAGCAGTCTAGTTACCATAGTGCCAATGTGCAGTCTGATCCATAAGGTTCAGACTGCCGTGTGATAGATGTGTTAAGTTATTATTTTCAATAGAAATATTTTTCAATCAAAATAATGTTTAATTATCACACTAATTATGTTATGATGGTAGAAATGACAAAACGTAATAAATCGCCACAGTTTACTAAACGGGCAATAGAGCAATAGCCATTTATTTGTTCCAATAAATGTGAAAATCGCTAGAATTCTTTATAAACGTGGCTAACGCCCTCGGATCGTTTCCCTCTTTAATTTCGCCAAATGTTTATTTATTCGAACAAACAGTCGACAGGACAGTTCGTATACACATTCCGTCCCTTTTTATACGTTTTTATAGATGCTTTATTACGAGATTTCGATATGTTTTCTAACTGTTGCTACGGCACGAAATCGATGCTATTTTTAGGGTTCCGTACCTCAAAAGGTAAAAAAGGAACCCTTATAAGATCACTTTCTTGTCCGTCTGTCAGTGTGTCACTACCGATTTTCTCAGGAACTAGTAGACCTAGCAAGTTGAACGAGTTCGACTCTTTTTTCCGGCTTTTTTCCCATTGATTTTGCTTCAATTTAATTGTCAACTTTATTATCATTAAACTTTTTTATTACGTTTGTGACAAATTTATTAGATTTAGTGCGGATAGAATGAAAAATGCTTGAGATTATCTAACGCTACTGTGGTTTACTTATACTAATCCAATCTGGGTTATAGTAGCTTTATTTTTTACATTAAATATACATATTACAGATGAAATATGCCTAGAGACAGAACAAATGATCGTGCTTATTACACAATATTTGTCCTGGGAGGGAATAGAACCAACTACCTCTGGCTTAGTGCTTAGTCAGGACCGCGAACCACTAGAGTTCAATAGACGAACAAGACAGTCCTACCTACCTAAGTAGCCTGTTGCACCCACTGCTGGGTGAAGGCCTCTTCTCTATCACGCCAATAATGGCGGTTTTGTGCCAGGAGTGGCGTGACAGAGATTGAGACAG